GTCTTAACGAAGAGATTTCTGCTGCTGGGCTTGAAACAGCTCCTTTGCGCATGCCTTCTACAGTAAACCCGAAAAGCCGTCAGGCATATGCTGAAAGAAAACAGCGGGAGATTGAAGGATCACACAGCCGACAGGTACGGAAAAAGTTGGCGACTGCATATACCTTGGAGCCAAGTGGGTCAAGTTCTCGCAGTGATCAACCATGCCTCGGCTGCGACGGGTGGTGGGCAAACATCAGAGAGGCCTTTGTGAAGGCGGCATCTTACCAGGAGAGATGTCAGCTCCTCACGCTTGTGCCCAAGGGCGTAGCCACTAGGGAGGTAGAACGGCTAATTCCTGAGGCATCGAAGTACCTTCTGAAGAAATCAAAGCAGCTTCGTGAACGGTTCGGCGTATGGGAGCGTCCGGAGCCTTATCACGGTGGAAGCATAAGCGAGGACACCATACGGGCAGCCACGCAATATTACACCGACGACGATCTCGACTGTTCTCGGCAGAGCCCAAACAAAAAAGATGCTGTTAAGCTTCTGAAGGATGGCGAAGAACATGTGGTCGTGAAGCGGTATATGACAAGGTATGTCCGAGAGACGTACAGGCTGTTTAAGGAAGCAAACCCGGACTCAAAATTAGGTCTGACTAAATTTTACTTGCTGCGGCCAAAGTGGGTCAAGCTAAACCCTGAACAGACTGTCTGTGCATGTGTGTGCTGTACGAATTTCGATTTGTGCTTTTCCACCCTGAACAGCATGCGAGAAGAAAAAATAACAAAAGAGGAGATTCTCGCTTTGTGCCTCTGCCCTGAACCCTCGTCCGAATGTTTCAGAGGCAAATGCAAAGACTGCCCCTCGACTGACAGACTCTCCTTAGGATCATTGGAAATGGTGCCTGAAGAGGAAATTACATTTTTAACATGGGAGAATGGTAATTTGATAAGCAAGACTGCCGACTCCAGCGCCTTTTTGAAAGAGCTACAGAAATGGGCCACAAGGTTTTCCACGCACGATTTTATTCGTAGGACACAACGGGAAGCCATACGGATTGAGAAGTCTAGTGTGACCTCAAGACACATCGTCATGCACTTCGATTTTGCGGAGAACTGGACGGTAATTTTGCCACACGAGATACAGGAGTACCACTGGCACAAGCGTCAGCTCTCTGTGTTCACGTGTGTGGCATCCACGTCGCAAGGCTCAAAATGCTTCGGCGTTGTCTGTGAGGACTTATGTCATGACACTTCCCATGCGCTGCTGGCTCTGAGACTTATAGAAGACTGGCTGGAGGAGCACATCCCAGTTTATGCTTCACTAACGTACATATCCGACGGGGCACCTGCTCATTTTAAAAATAGATTTCAGCTGCATGAGTTCGAACGAGTGGGCCATACCCAATTGAAGTGGATATTTTCTGCCTCTGGGCATGGTAAAAACTCTTGTGACGGGGTTGGAGGGCTTCTCAAACACCACGCAACGGTGCACAACCTCCGTTCACCGGAGGAGCAGCTCGTCCGAACATCAGTAGATTTTGTGGACAAGGTTGGAAGGCGTGTCAAAAACGTAACTCTCATGAACATAACCGAGAAGGAGGTGAGTGACTTCCGCAGAATCAAGAAAACAGAGTGGAGTTGCGTACCGACTCGGAAAGGCATCCGCGCTTCGCACGTGTGGCGACGCGAAAGGGGCGAAGTGCAGCTTGAGCGAACTGTTCTATCTTCGTCTTAATGCATGAACCTCTGTGGTGCACGTGCGGAACTCTCAGATGATCTACGGCTTTGTTTTGTTTTGTTGTTAAAGCCTCTTCTTGTACATTTGCGCTTCTGTGAAAAATTATGTGTTTCTATAGGTGTGCCTTGTTAACCCAAATAAATTACTCAATAAATAGAGTGATTTTGTTAAACTGTTACCTATGAATGTTTTATTGCATACTGGCAACAAAAGAGTACGATTACTGTAAGCTGAAAAGCAACTTCCGATATGCTGTGCGTAGCCCAAAAAATTTAAACGTATGCAACAAGTAGTCCAAAAGCCGAAGGATGGACAAAATGTAGTAAATTTTTTTTTCACGTACCTCGGAATACTAAGGGCCAATGAAGGATAGGCGAAAGAATGCCATGCGGTAAATTAAAAAAATTCGAGCCGATTTTCCGATAATGTTTGTATAAAATAAAGATTGTCCGAAACGCATAAACGGGGATATTGTTTTTCTGGACTGGATAGTGCCGTAGAATGCAACCCGACATGATCGAAACGGATGAAACGTCTTGGATCTCTCCACTCGCTTAGGCTAGTTAACATTGATGTTAACTAAATTTACTTTTGTTGTTGTTTATCACGGCACAATGTTCAAACAAATAATTTAAATATATAAGTTTCGTGCAACCTCAGTAGTAAAACGTTGTCGTGGCGACGTTCGAAAATGCAAGCTGTGGCTTTGCAGACATCACTTCGTCAATTCAGCCATCTCTCATTTCTTTATGACGTTACTGATTTTTTGAAAAATATATTAGTAAAAATTCAACGGGGTAAAGTAGTTTTCAGTGAAATCTGATATTGCTGAGCCAATTATCAATGTTGCGGTGAAGCCCGCATACCGGAGCCGGAGGTTGGTATTACGCGATAAAAATGACTTATTCAACTGGTTGTCCTAAAACTACAACAAAAAAAGGTCAAGCAATATTTATACCCGGTTATTAAGCAGAATCTGGGCAATAAATTAAAAAAGTATGAACGAAATAAAAAATGGCTTTTTTGAGAAAATTGACTTCAAAATTTGCATATTTTTCATTTTTGTCTATATTTGTGGCAGAATAAAAACAACACGGTAAACACAATAACCAGAAAATACATGTCAATCGATAGCTTACATTGATAGCTACGCACAGATATATGTCTCACGTCATTGCGCCCTACCGTTCGTTTTATATAGCTGTCCGAAGTTGCGTCACACTTGCTCTAGGTTGCATGTTTGAGATTTTTTAGAAAATTAATTTAATATAACAGAAGACAGAAATTTACCTCTAGAAATAGCCAAGTCTGCGTAAATATTGCGTAATAAATATAATAATTCTGCAAGAATTCGATAATTTGTAAATGGCGGCTAAAGTCGAGATAAAATCAAATTGGGAATTTGACGTTTTCTACCCTGCAGCGCCTCAGAAGTTTTTTCTCTCAAACTATACAATTCTAATTTTTTTCAAAGGCAGTTTCTTTCATCACAAGGATTCGGGTATCATATATATTTTTTACGATTAAATCTAAAGATTTAATCCCGACAAGTTTGGTCGAATCCAAATGAAATCACCCAACAGGATTGACAAACAGCAAAAACAGATGTTCTGCAAATGAAATAAAAATGATTTCGTCACGCACATAACGTTTCTTTCCATTTCACAGTCGCAGACTCAATCACAAGCTGAATCACAGGCTGAACCAGATACAGGGGCTGGTGATAGTCCTTGGGGACACTTGGACGGCAGCGACGTAGTGGACCCCACAAGCTTTGGGTTAGAAGATGAGGCCTGCAGCCTGAGTCAAAGGGCCAACAGTGGTGTGACTCATAGTCCCCGTGGAATGTACAACGACGGTGCGAGCTCCAGTAGTGGTGGGAGCTGCACTGCGCAATCCAACAGGCCTGGAAAAAGGAGACAAGAAGAAAACTGTGCTGACCAGAAGTGGCAGCTTTTGGAGACTGCTGTGCACGCTCTTAAAAAATCAGTTAAGGCGACTAAGTCGAAAGATGAATGCGATGATTTTGGCGTTACAATTGCACACGCACTCTGGCGAGTGCCAGAAGGCCCACAGAGGAAACTGGCCAGCATGTTGGCATATCAGGCAGTTGTGAAGTGCTCTCTTAATCTAAACGATCAGGTCGAGATTGTACAGGCAGCACCTGATCAATGAAGACCCTGGCCAGCAGTTATTTCTCCTCTATTCAAACATTGCTCACTTTATATTTTCAGTTTTCCTTTCTTGATCATTGGGAACGGACGTAGATGTCTTGATCGCATGTTTGCAGCTCAAGTTTGAAGTTGTGTTTGTGTATTACAATCATTGCCGCAAATCAAACCATATGTAACAGTGAAATTGTTAAATGCCTACCTGAATGTTATTTTGTTTTAAAGTTTCAACTACTGTTCCAAGAGGTGATACTGCCACTCTTAGTGTTTATCATAGTTCACTTTAATGCTTTTACATTTCCTTTTTTGTGTGTGCTTATATGCAGTATTGTATTCAAATAATTTATTTTTGTTCCAACTTTTTCCTGTAATGACCCACAGGATAACAGTATTGGATAATAAATAAATGAAAGTATAACCAGAATGTTAGGGCGCAAACGAGCTGGTGATGATTGAACATGGTGAACTGAACCCCGAGGCTCGGGAAAAAGAAGGGCGACGAAAGGGAGGGAGAAGAGTCGCAACAGACTTCTTTTCTTCCTCTCCTTAGTAATACTTGTTTTTCCCGCAGTGTCTCAGGGTTTAGTTCACCATGTGGAAGTATAGTTATTAAAAAAAGACTGTCACATTACTTCTATAAAGTGTGTCATGCACTTCGAGCTGCTATACCAAATATTTGATTCCGCCATACTTTAGTGATACACTCTAGGCACCGAGTGCCCACATAACGTCAATCAAGCATGGGGCTTACTGACAACTCCGACAAACCAATAATGAGTGGTGCCGGGTGGAGCAAGAAGTCCAATATCAAATGGCAGAACAGGTGAGCTGGTGTATTGTTTAGAAACCAGGGGCAGAAAAAGATTGACACAGGCTAGCACAGGAAAGTTACAGCATGAAACCACACCCAGAGCACAGCTAACAAAAGCTTTTATCTTTAGCAAATCTTGTGAACAATTTTTAAGATGTTGTTTTCAGCTGTTAATTGTCCGTGTAAATTTTCCTGCTTCCAGTACAACCATATATATAATCCAAGTAATACTTCCGAGCTAGTATAATAAATGCAGTTACTTCCAGACACAGCACATTGATTCCGTGTAGTACCTGTTTAAGTGATCGATCGCCACTGCCAGCTCACTTGTCCCTCGTTGACGAAGTAGTTCGTGTAGAGGTTCCGAACTGCCTTGGCATAGTCACTGCAGTTGCTCCCACCTCTCCGGAACTGCCGCATTGCTCCAGCTGGGCTCACACCCTGTCTCCATGAGCCATTGCGCACATTCCCTGTAGGTCATCAAAAATAATGTTGAAGCACGCACATTTCAATTCAATGCGTTCATGAGCCTGGTCCCTCTTTATTACTACCAACCTTTATCGACCTTCACTAGTAACTGATTTCTCACAATTACCAGTGTGACTCGCACTTTTCTGCTCAGGCAGCGCAAGCATCTGACAATTATTTTAGCAGGTCGCCAAAATGGAAGCTGCCAGTAACCAGACGATTATTCTCTACTCTGTGCTTTTACCTCATCGGGAGCATACCGGACCTTGTCTGGGCCGTCATTCACCTGCTATAAGTTTCGTGGAGAGATTAGAAAGAGTTCTTGGGGAAATTAAAGCTGCAAAGTTTGTACTAAGAACCCGTCCCGTGGTCAGGTCAAGAATAATTGACTATACCGAAACCAGCTTCACATTGGTAAACAAGGAGTAGCTAATTGAAAGACATGGCATTTTAGTCTCAGTTTCTTTCACTACATTTCATGTTGGTGGTAGACCAAATTTAGCAGGTCACTATTGCGTTCTCATCGTAGGCGACGGCCCTCCTATGCTATCGCGAACATAACTACCCTATGGGGGCTGCGGCACGTTGATGTGGTGGTCAGTTCTTTGCCAGAGCTCAACTCTGCTATCACGCCGACATTGACCCCCGCGGCGCTCTATTATTTTCTTCTGTCTTCCGGCTTAGTTATTTGCTTTTGGACACAGTTCGCCCCCATTTAACGTTTATTTAATTATGTTTATGTATTGTTTATTTTGTCATCATGTGTGACAATATAGTGTGCAGTACGTAGGTACCAACATGTAAGATGTCCGACCATTGGACCATGTCATGATACACCCTAGACTAGATAACTGCAGACTGTGAATGAGTTATGCTCATAAAAACCTAATTGAGTAAGTGCTTTTGCTTTGGAACTTTCGAAGTCAAAATGGCATTAAAAACAGTCAGGATGTTGCACGATATATTTGCATTGCTTTCGCCTGTAACTTTACAGAGGAAACTATTAGGCTCTTTAAACGTGAACTACTGTAGCTCTAGCCATATTTGAAGCTTAAGCAGATTTTCAAGGTAAGGGCCATTTACATGATGCAAGGGTGGTACACTACATGCTCACCGGTCAGGATGTCCTCAACATCCAAGCTGTCTGAAGGAGTGTAGAGCTGTCGCGTCGTCCTTTTCGACCGGAGAAAGTTGTGGAGTGCCACAGTGGCCAGCACAATGTCGGTGGCTCGCTTGGGATCATGACGCAGGGGAGACCTATATATCTGCCATCGATTGGCGAGCACGCCAAATGCGTTCTCCGATGTGCGTCGAGCACGTGACAGCCTGAAAAAAATTGCAATGATAGCAAGATATTATCAAATACAGTGCCAGTATGCTGGTATGCTTCTCTATATCTACGAAATTGGTCACTGATGTTGCCTAATATGTAAATCTTGGTCTTATTTGTCAGCTATAAGAAAAGCAGTACCGCAATAAGCTTTAATTAAAAATGATGTGAAATGCGTGAGTCAAGGTAATGTATATGGCTTCAAGCTTTGGCATAATCTCCAAGGCCTGTTTTTCTTGCTGCCACAACATAACATGCATATTCACATATTTCTGTACACTTCTCTACCATCCTATGCTGACCTAAATATCCATACTAAAAGTTTTAAACTAGATTTGTACACCTCTTACGTTTGTCCTGTTTGAAAACTCCGAATGGTTTCTGTTCTCCCAATAGCGTGCACAACAAACTGCATTTGCAGTAAGCCTGCGAATAACCAGGCGGGATATTAAAAAAAAAAACAATTCAAAGTGACAAATACACTATGTACTGCATGGACCCCCTACCTGTAGTTGAACAACCGCTTCTCTGTAGTGAGCTCTGCAGCAGGGTGTGGCCTCATTAGGTAAGGCTTCAGGCCAAAACCTTCATCCCCCACAATCACATAGGGTGCTGCTTGTGTTGATCGTGGAAGCACTTGGGCATCAGGAAGGATGGATGGCTCCTTCTCCAGTGCCTCTTTGAGCTTGCAGGCGCCCCAGATGCCACTTTCGTTCATTCGGCCATTGCGGCCCACATCCACAAAGACGAAGTTCAGCTCCGCATCCACCAGTGCCATCAACACAATGCTAAAAAAGCCCTTGTAGTTCCGGAACTGAGCTCCGGAGTCGTGAGGTGGCATCAGGGCAACATGTTTCCCATCTAACGCCCCAACGCAGTGAGGGAACTGCCAGAGGTCTTCGTACTTCTGTGCGATCTGTTTCCATTCAGCACGAGTGCTGCGTACCTGCAATAAGTTGTTTTCAGATTTAATACAGGTGTGTTCCACACCAGCTGCCACATAAAAGCCCATTCACAAATTTCCGTTCGAGTGTAATGCATTATGTGCCAGGTGTAGATGCACCATGCTGTGGGGCCTATGCCCACTGTAGTACTGAAATGCAGCCGGCTGCAGCCAAGAACCAATAGGAACGCACTCCTGCCACTCACAATTCTCTAATTGCAAGCACTATCCGTGCAAACATTATGGTATTTGGCACCAGCATCAATATGACCTTGTCATAGCGCTTTTCCGCTAGCTGGATCTCGCAACTCCTGGAGTGCTCGCATTTCCTCAATCTGAAAACAATACATTCTAGAACCCAGACTGATGCCAAGCAAGCAAGATTCCATTTCCGAATAAGCAACCAGGAGCTCGATTCTGAGGTTCAGGGACACCTATGCCACACTCTTCTCTCTAAGGCCTCCGACCGGCCTGAAGCTGAAATATGTAAGATTTTTGCACTCGAAGTTACAGCCCTACCCAAGTTCCTTGTGCGGTGCAGTATGACAGTTGCTAGGCGTAATGCTTCTCTACATGACCGCAACCTTGCTGCACCACACTCATATGCGGGAGAGGTTGTTTCGCTACTACATTTATTGTGTACATATGGTATACACTATACTTTCCTCTGGTTTTCTGGCTCTTCGAGTTATGATATTAAGTGCAACAACCAATCCTGTATAGTTTTCTTTTTCTTCCAATGATATTCATTAGTGTATAAAGTTATGCAGTGAATGCTACTTTTATTTTAAGACTAGCTGTAATTTAGGTCATTTATAGTAAGATCAATGAAACCACTATTAAACTGGAAATTGGAAAATAAATGTATCGTCTGATGTTCTGAAAACTTTAGAGCTTCGATCTCTGCAATATTAGAACTTTTTGAACTTTGCGCGGGACCAAAAATTCGAAGATTGAGCTTTCCAAAACTAGAACCAAACTCAAAAGTAGAAAATTAGATCTTCGTTTCAATTCCGAAGTTGCAACTTTGGGAGTTCGAGCCTCAGCAAGGATTTTCAAAACAGAAACTTGAAACCCACGAGGTTCGCGACACCTTTATAAATACTCTCTATATGTCGGTACTGCCGGTGGCTTCAGGTCGGAGCAGAGGTGCTCAAGTTCGCAGCCACTGGGCACAGGGTGTGTATGTTTGTATACAGGCAATCACACTATCCCACGAGACTTGTCTTTGGCTAAGAGTTTGTTCCTATTTAGATTAATTTGCGTTCGTCACTCAGCATCACATGGGGCCAGCCACCAACAAAATTCTAGAATGCCATTTTCAATCTCGCAGCATAACAAGAAATTAAAAAAAAAAAACAACTAAGGTCTGTTCCCGAATTTGACAATTATTATCGCAGATCTCTAGTAAATGAAAGCCTGGAACACACTGGGACGGAGATGAAGAGACCTGGTTATGTTTTTCTCACTGTGAGTTCCAATGTGGCGATGCAAGCGAGTTGGTTCATCATTACAAAGTAGATACAGCGCGCGAATAAACGCGGACGGAAGAAAGAACTGGACAGGTACGTCGAGTGCGCCAGTTGGGGGTATTTATCGTATCCCATTAAGCTGCGGTCGTGCACACATCGGCCATACTGGCCGATGTGTCAATGAACGGGCAGATGAGCCCGCACTTTTGCTGCGCTCAACCTCGGGAGGCCACCTTCCTGTTCACTGTGTCACCTGCTTTAGTGTGCCGAAATCTGAAAGCATCACGGTTTTGGGGAGGCTAGCCGATAGGATTGCACGCCAACTGCTGGAAGCCTATGAGATTGGAAAGGCAGGTTCCCAATGCATCTGTCAAACCTCGACATATTTACATAAAAAAAATAGCTTTTTTGAGCACGTGTTGATTAGTGACGGTCTGGTGATTTGGCATCTTTTCTTGTTGGTTTTCCTTCATTAATCGCTCAGTTGAAGTCCAGCGCTTGTCCTGTCCAGTTCTTCCCTCCATCCGCGTTTGTTTGCACGCTGTAACCAGTGTGTGGGTTCCACTCTTATTACCTGGAAGTTTGATTATGTCGTATCGTTATTACCTTCAGGAAGTCATCCTTCAGAGCACTGTAGATGGCTAGGCAGACCTCGTGCACGATGGTGGAAATTGTGTTGTGTCCTCTCCGGAAATGAAACTGGAGTAACATCTGGCTGTCCCCTGAAAACAGTTGAAGACACAGTGAAGGGACCAGAACAGCTTGGCTAAATATGTGTTCCCTCGTTTTTGTAATCAGCGAATAACTGCAAGATAGCAAGGTAGAATGGGGAAAAAAGGGAAATATTGTGTTTTACGTTAAAAAGCAACTGAGGCTATGTGCGACGCCCCAATGACTCGTTGGGGAAGGGAGTGGCCAGGGTTTGAACTTTGATCCCACCTTTTGCGCTCCTAAGGCCAAAACCGAACATTTACGCCACAGAGATGGTGAGATAGAGAATTCTTTCCGATGTATGGGTGGCAAGAATGGGTCGCTTAGCTCAAACCAACAGGAGAACGTGGTGCCTGCGTGTAACAAAGATTTTCAATGGGGGATTTTTCCCTGTAAGGTTGCAAAACGTCGCTCAGCTAGGTTATAAAGACGTACACTTATCTCATAATGATGCAAAAACGTGCACACACATGCAGGGCTGACACTTACCCGTGGCAAGGTACCGCAACGTGATGGCCAGTCGCTCTCCTCCAGTCGGGACATATAGCCGGAAATTTGTGTCCCTTTTTTTGATGCGCGATTTCACCCTTGCTAGGAGATCCTCCAAGGAGCCGGTGTCCATCCGAATCCAACGCCGGTAGGCCTCGGAATCTTCCAGAGCCAGCTCCCGCATCAAATTCTCATAGGCACCTTGTTGATGCACTCTTGCGAGCCACTCGCTGGTCCATTTTGAACGCGGCTTCTTGCGCGGCGGCAGCTGATCGTCAGAATCATCTGAATCGATGGCACGAAGAAGCACCAAAGCAGAAGCTGCTGCTGTGGCCGGCGCGTATGCCATCCTGCAAGGGTCTAGCCCTGTAGCAGAACGCAACCGCCAAATCCAGAAAACACGAGATGGTTCGCGCGGCTGATGAATCGATACGGTAGAGCGAGGTCGATGAGACGGCGATTCAAAATGGCAACGATTCAAGGGGCGAGCGGAGCCAGCGGATCTGACCGCCGAATTCAGAAACCTCACTCAAACTACACTCAAACTGAAGGGCCCCTCCACTTCCTCGAGGAAGGCGCGAGGGCTGGCGCTGGCCAATCGCGACGGCGGATCCGTCCTCGCGATTGGCCAGCGCCGGCCCTCGCGCCTTCCTCGAGGAAGTGGAGGGGCCCTTCAGTTTGAGTGTAGTTTGAGTGGGGTTTCTGAATTCGGCGGTGAGCCTAGCCTAGGGTGCCTCAATGTCCTTCTCTTTAGGGTGATGCCACCCTTTGTAGTACCTGATGCCGACAGCACGCGCTCACGGGGAAGATACAAAGAAATCGACGAAAACAAAATGTCGCCATAGTCAGCGCCGCAGACTCGTGCAGGGACACGCTCTTTCACGCGCTTCTGAACAAAAAATAAACATAAACGTGTGGGACAAAATGGCCAGATGTCTCCACCCTAAGCAAAGCGCACATGAAATCACCCTAGCCTAGCCGCCTACACTTCGTTTCAGCTTCGGTCCAGACGCAGCCGATGCTACAAGCGCGAGCATCTGGCCCAGAACAGTGCTTGCACTGCACGAGCGCGCGCGCTTAGCAGGGATGTTGAAAGCCCGGAGCTCGCGCTTGTAGCTTAGCCGAGCCGGCCGGGCAGACGAGGACGAGAGAGAGAGACGGAGGCAGCGCGCAGGAGAGGAGGCAATTTTTGTTCTTCCAACACGCTTTCTCGGTGTGACAGGATGTTCCCCAAGTGTCGGAGAACAAGTTGGGAAACATGGTTTTCGAGCGACAGCAACATGTTTCCGGACTGTTGCTGTTTCCGCAATGTGACAGGGTCCCCGAAAACGTGTTTTCCTCGTGTTGAAGGACAACGTTCTCCGACCGTTTCCGCAGTGTGACAGGGGCTAGTTGTCAATTATTGAACTATTCTCGTGTGACTATCTGTACAGAAAAATATAGATGTTGCCGTGTTGCTCGAAAAAAATTCGCTCAGCCACCGAAATGGGTAACACGTGTCGTCCGACACAAGCTGTCGAGGTTTCCGTTGCCAAAAGCTGTCACACCGAGACAACATTGTCGCTGTCGTCCATGTTGTGTTGCTGTTTCCTCAATGTGACAGGGTTGTCGGGCAACAGAGCCGACAGCCGACATGTTTCCCGACTGTTGAGAAACATGTTTTGTTCATGTTTCCGCCGTGTTTCCTCAATGTGACAGGGCCGTAAGACCGATCTCACCAGCCAGTTCCAGTATGCCGCCGCTGCCGCAATGCATCGAGGGAACTTTTGTCTTTCTGCGCGTGCTACAACCTCGCTGGAGCTGTCTCGGCACGAACTGTCTCGTGCACTGCCGATTGCCTCTTGTGAACTAAAGTTATTGCTGCCTCGCGCATGCGCCGAACGCCTAATGAAATCGGTCTGTTGTTAAAAGAATGGCGCCAACAAAAAACAATTGAGCCCTGTGGAACATCATCGCATTGGTCACCGAGCGGAGCGTTTTTTTTTTTTTTTTTCATGCGAAAGAATTAATTGTTTCATGGAGTGAGTCGGCGTTATGAGCTTTTGAATTTCCGCCAAACGGCACCTCAATTCCCTGTCCCATGGAGAAAACCTGTAGTCTGTAGCAGGGAATAGATGAATAAATTCCCATTGGCTGGCGCGCGGCATAGTTCCAAGGAATGCCACCCCACAGAGAAGCCCTCTCCATGGCGCAGCGGCCCGGCCGCCGGTAGGGGGGAGAGGGTGGCCGTGCTCTGCAGGGCGGCCGGCCGCAGTGCCCGCCCGGGCAGCCTCCGCAAAGGTCGCCCGTCCTGGCTGCAGCGCGGCGCGCAGCTTGTAGAAATAGGCTACGTATACGAATAATTTCGTAATCCTACACGTTAACAGTGTTAAGTGTCCTCTTGTAGTTTTTTGTGGGCGTAGACTTCTACGTTGTTTCCGTGTTTCAGTGCACCAAGCTACCACGGACTGCTCCTGACGTCACGCTACGACGGTTTCCATTCTAGTGTAACGTCAGGAAGATTCGGTGGTAATTAGGCAGCGGAACGGTAAACGTTTGCAATGCTTTGGTTAAAAAACGAAACAAAACAAAAACAGTTTGTTGTGGCTTACGACCACGGTGCTTACGACAAGAGACAGGACAAGGTGCAGCCGATGTAGCTTCCAGAGCCAAACGGTTTTAATGTCCCGTGCCCTCGTTTCGTCTCAAACATCCGTGGCGCGCGCTCACTTCTTTGCCCGCCGCCTCGCGCTATTTATTGAAACAATACTCAAACACAACACTCCTTCCCCATCAATGTTTTGGCTGAATCACACAAGAATACCTCTCCGGTGGCCTACGTTGTCGTATGCTACTTCGAAGCACTGGTGTGGTCGGTACCGCTGTCTCGGAAACAGGCTCCATATCGAGGGCAGCAGGCTCTGTCATGTTGTCTCGAGAACCACCGGACGCCCTTCGTGGTGTTGCAGCCGGAGTGTCGACATTTCTTCTCTGTGCGGACGAATCTTCGAAGTGTCTCGGACGGACATCATCCACGTGCACATACCGATGCTGATCTTGCACTATCACGACGTAGGTTGATGTAAAGCCCCTTGATAAAGGCCGTTTTTACAAGTACCGCCAACCATTGTTGTGGAAACGCGCGAGACAAGTGCCACGAGCGCGTGCTCCGCCGCCATTCGCTTCCAAAGGCCGCTCATTTCAGTGCTGCACCGCCATTTGCTTCCAAGGGCCGCTCGAGACATGGTCCTCGTGCGCTCGCGCATTTGACGCTACTTGCAAGACACGTAAACACATCGACGGGCTTTAGGTTGATGCACTTACTTTCTTTACAACACGTCCCACCAACCATGCAGGATCTGTCGGACGTGATCCCCGGACGAGGACTCGGTCGCCTTCTTCAAAAGTTCGCCAAGAGCCTCTTCTCATGTCGGCGGCTGTCTTGATTTGTTGCTGGCGATCTCTCATGCGTCTCTCCATTTCAGGATGAAGGAAGCTCAGACGGGTCCTAGGCTTCCAAGAGAGAAACAGCTCGGCTGGAGTTCTGTCGGTCGTACCAGTTGGGGTATTTCTGTATGCAAACAGGAACTGGTCGACTCGATGTTGCATCGATTTCGGTACACCCGTCCGTTGCTCGTCGATTACCTGCCTCAGGAGGTCCCGCTTGACAGTTTGCACACACCGTTCCGCACTTCCACTTGAGGCGGGATGGTACGGAGGACTTTTTGTGTGGCGTACCCCATTCATCGACAGAAGCTCTACGAACTCTGTCGCCACAAACTGGGGTCCATTGTCTGTCACTACCTCTTCTGGTAGTCCAAACACGGCGAAAACACTTCGCAATCTTTCGATACTACATTTTGTCGTAGTGGAACTCATTAGAAACACCTCTACCCACTTTGAATGAGCACCTACGAGAATCAAAAACCAGTTCTGATCCCGGTATGCAAAATCAAGATGCACCCTTTGCCATCTGCGCGTTGGCCAACCCCACGTTAATAATGGAACACGTGGTGGCGCGTTCTGCGTTAGTTGACAAGTACTACAGTTTTTGACAGTGTTTTTGACATCATATGTTATCAAAGGCCACCACACGTGACTACGTGATAGCATTTTCATTCTGGTGGTGCCTGGATGTCCCTCGTGCAACAGGAACAACACTTTTTCCCTAAACACTTCGGGAACGATCACTCGACTTCCCCATGTTACACACCCTTGGTCAACCGACAATTCGTGACGGCGCACAAAGTACGGTTGCAATGCCTCATTGTCCACATGTGAAGGCCATCCGTTCAGTGTGAAAAACAACACTCTTTTCATCACACTATCCTTTTCAGTTTCTCTCCTAATTTCACGAGCTGACAATGGCACTTCATCCACCGCCGAAAAGAAACTGACGTAGTCTGAGCTATCGTTCACGTTAAGCAAAGGCAGACGTGACAGCGCATCAGCATTCTGAATCTGGCTACCCTTCCGATAAACCCACTTGTAACTGTAGGCAGCAAGTAAGAGAGCCCACCTCTGCATCCTGG